AAAAAATTGAAGTTTGATTTTTCGCGTTGGTTACACGTTGCTCTTGGCCTAAAACATGTTTTGGGCCTAACTCCTAACTCGCATAACATTTTCGAGTCATTCTTTCTCCTTAACGCGTGTTTTTACTTTTATGCGTTGGATAACAATTTTCAGTCTTTCAATGCCTAAATGCGTTTTATTTTACCATTTCGAAATTGTTCGTGAGTTCAGAACCTGAAAAAATCGAAATCCGATTTTTCATGTCGGTTCCATGTTGCTCTTGGCACAAAACATGTTTTGGGCCTAAATGCTACCTCAAATAACAGTTTTGAGTCATTCTTTTGCCTAATTGCACTTTTTTATAATTTCTAAAGGGTTCGTGAGTTCAGAAGCTGAAAAAATTGATGTCCGATTTTACTCGTCGATTACACGTTGCTCTTGGCCAAAAAAGTTTTTCAGGCCTAACTCCTAGCCCGAATAACATTTTTGAGTCATTTTTGGCCTATATGCGTTTTTTTTAACCATTTCTAAAGGGTCCGCAAGTTTAGAAGCTGAAAAAATTAAAGTCCTATCTTTCGGGTCCGTTACAGGTTGCTCTGGGCCCAAAACATGTTTTGGGCGTAACTCCTAGCACGTATAACATTTTTAAGTCATTCTTTGGCCTAAATGCCTTGTTTTACCATTACTAAATGGGTCGTTAGGTTAGAAGCTTAAAAAGTTGATGTCCGATTTTTCGCGTCGGTTACATGTTGCTCTTGGCCCAAAACGTGTTTTGGGCCTAACCCCTAGCTTGGATAGCATTTTTGAGTCATTCTTTCGCCTAAATGCGTTTTTTTACCAATTTTAAAGGGTTCGTCGGCTTAGAAGCTTAAAAAATTGAAGTCCGATTTTCGCGTTGGTTACACGTTGCTCTAGGCCCAAAACATGTTTTCGGCCTAACTCCTAGCTTGGATAATATTTTTGAGTCATTCTTTTGCCTAAATGCGTTTTCTTTACCATTTGTAATGGGTTTGTGGGTTCAGAAGCTAAAAAAATTTATGTGCGATTTTCGTGTCGGATACACGTTGCACTTGGCCAAAAATGTGTTTTGGACCTAACTCCTAGCTTGGATAACATTTTGCGTTTTTTTTACCATTTTCAAAGGGTTTATCAGGTCAGAAGCTTAAAATTGAAGTCCGGTTTTTCACGTCGATTACACGTTGCTCTAGGCCCAAAACGTTTTTGGGACTTAATCCTAGCTCGGATAATATTTTTAAGCCATTCTTAGTCCTAAATGCGATTTTTTAACCATTTCTAAAGGGTTCGTCAGGTCAGAAGCTTGAAAAATTGAAGCCCGTTTTTTCACGTCGATTACACATTGATGTGGGCTTGAAACGTGTTTTGGGCCTAACTCCTAGCTCGGATAACATTTTTGAGTCATTCTATCGCAAAAATGGTTTTTTTTTCCATTTCTAAAGGGTTCGCAAGTTCAGAAGCTGAAAAAAATTGAAGTCCGATTTTTCGTGTCTGTTACACGTTGCACTAGGCCCAATACATACGGTTTGGGCCTAACTCCTTGTTCGGATAACATTTTTGAGTCATTCATTCTCGCCAAAATACGTTTTTTTTTTACCATTTGTAAAAGGTTTCGGGAGTTCAAAAGCTAAAAAAACCGAAGTTTGATTTTTTGCATCGGTTACACGTTGCTCTAGGCCCAAAACACCCCTAGCTCTAATAACATTTTGAGTCATTCTTTCGCCGATTTTTTTTTTACCCCATTACTAAAGGGTTCGTCAGTTCAGAAGCTAAAAAAATTGAAGTCCGATTTTTAGTGTTTGTTCCACGTAACTCTTGGCTCGAATCGTGCTTGGGCTTAACTCCTAGCTTAGATAACAATTTTAGGTCATTCTTTCTTATAAATGCGTTTTTTTTTACGATTTTTAAGGGTTCGTGAGTTAAGAAGCTTAAAAAATTGAAGTTCGATTTTTCGCGTCGGTTGCACGTTACTTTTGGCGTAAAACGTGTTTTGGGCCTAACTCCTAGTTCGGATAACATTTTTGAGTCATTCTTTCTCTTAAATGCGTTATTTTACCTTTTTTTAAGGGTACGTCATATCAAAAGCTTAAAAAATTGAATTCCGATTTTTGGCGTCGGTTACATGTTACTCTTGGCCCAAAACGTGTTTTTGGCCTAACTCCTAGCTTGGATAACATTTTTTACTCTTCTTTTCGCCTAAATGTGTTTTTTTTTTACCATTTCTAAAGGGTTCGTGATTTCGGAAGCTGAATAAATTGAAATCCGATTTTTTCGCGTCGGTTACACATTGTTGTTGGCACAAAAAGTGTTTTGGGCCTAACTCCTAGCTCGGATAACATTTTTTGGTCATTCTTTCGCCTAATTGGGTTTTTTTTACCGTTTATAAATGGTTCATGAGTTCAGAAGCTGAAAAAATTGAAGTTCGGTTTTTCGCGTCGGTTACACATTGCTCTTGGTCTTAAACGGGTTTTGGGCCTAACTCCTTGCTCGGATAACATTTTTGAGTTATTCTTTCGCCTTAATGCGTTTTTTACCATTTTTATTGGTTTTGTCACATCAAAAGCTTAAAAAATTGAAATCCGTTTTTACGCGTCCGATAACATTATTCTGTCTTTCTATGCTTAAATGCATTTTTATTTTACCATTTCTAAATTGTTTGTGAGTTCAAAACCTGAAAAAATTGAAATCCGGTTTTTTTTGTCGGTTTCATGTTACTATTGGCCCAAAACATTTTTTGGGCCTAACTCATAGTTCGGATAACCTTTTTGAATCTTTTTTTCGCCTAAATGTGTTTTTTTACCTTATTTAAAGGGTTCATCAGTTCAGAAGCTTAGAAAATTGAAGTCCGATTTTCCGCGTCAGTTACACGGTTCTCTGTTTTGGGCCTAACTTCTTGCTCGAATAACAATTTTGAGTCATTCTTTCGCCTAAATGCGTTTTTTTTTTTACCATTTTTAAAGTGTTCGTCTGGTCAGAAGCTTTAAAATTTGAGTTCCGATTTTTCGCGTCGGTTACACGTATATCTAGGTGCAAAATGTGTTTTGGGCCTAACTCTCAGCTCGGATAACATTTTGAGTCATTCCTTCACCAAAATGCGTTTTTTTACCATTTTCAAAGGGATCGTCAGGTCAAAAGCTTAAAAAATTGAATTCCGATTTTTTGTGTATGTTACTCGTTGCTCTAGTCCCCAAACGTGTTTTGGGTCTAACTCCTAGCGCGGATAACATTTTTGAGTCATTCTTTCACCTAAATGCATTTTTTTTCCATTTCTAAAGGGTTCGTAAAGTTAGAAGCTTAAAAATTTGAAGTTCGATTTTTCGCTTTGGTTACACGTTGCTCTGGGCCCAAAACATGTTTAGGGCCTTACTCCTAACTCGAATAACATTTTTGAGTCATTCTTTCACCAAAATGTGTTTTTTTCTTTTACCGTTTCTAAAGGGTTCGTCAGTTCAGAAGCTGAAAAAATTGAAGTCCGATTTTAAGTGTCGGTTCCACGTAGCTCTTAGCCCAAATCGTGCTTTCGGCCTAACTCCTAGATCGGATAACATTTTTAAGTCATTCTTTTGCATAAATGCATTTTTTTTTTACCATTTTTAAAGGGTTTGTGAATTTAGAAGCTGAAAAAAATTGAAGTCCGATTTTTTACGTCGGTTACACGTTGCTCTTGGCCTAAAACGTGTTTTGGGCCTAACTCCTAGCTCGGATAACATTTTTGAGTCATTCTTTCGCCTAAATGCGTTTTTCTTACCATTTTAAAAGGGATCGTCAGGTAAGAATCTTACATAATTGAATTTTGATTTTTTCGCGTCAGATAACATTTTTCAGTCTCTCTTTGCCTAAATGAGTTTTCTTTTACCTTTCTAAATTGTTCGTGAGTTCAGAACCTAAAAAAATTAAATTCCGATTTTTCTTGTCGGTTCCATGTTGCTCTTGGTTTAAAACCTAAATGAGTTTTCTTTTACCTCTTTCTAAATTGTTGGTTTATTCTCTATGATTTAGTGTTTGATTTAGGGCTTTATTTTTACGATTTAGGGTTTTTTTTATTTCCGATTTAGGGCTTTTACACTTACTTACCCAATTCATGGTAGTGGTTGTGTATAGAGTTGCTATATGGATGGTTGGTCTTAATCAAGTAGTAGAACTTGTTGTGATTTTAAATTTACTTTTTGCATTGAGTCATTTACTTTTCATTATTAATTTTGCTTAATCCTTATAACTTCATTTTTTTAGTTTGTTTAACTTTTTGAGCTTTTTTATTTACTTTTTGCTTTGAGTCATTTACTTTTTAGTATACGTCTAATAGTTTTTATTAGTATACTTTTTTTTAAATGGTTTACTTTTTGTTATTGTTTATTTACTTTTTTCTTTGATTCATTCACTTTTCAGGAAGATGACTAAAAGTGTAGAGCATTGTTCTATTGCTGTCACTGATGAAGATATGAATGTAAGAATTTTCAAAACACCCACTCAGCCTGTGCTTCCTAAGATATATTATAATTCTAGAGGTGATAAAGAGTATATCTCAGGTTGTTTATTTTGGAAAACAAACCTATTCTTGGAATGAAATTTGATAGTCTTGGAGATGGTATTGCCTTTTATTACAAATATGCTAATGAGTGTGGATTTAAAGTCCGTTCTAGTACTACTAAAGTAGATAAGAATAAGGTTGGTTCTAGTTATGGTAAAGGAGTTACTGTAATTAAATATTTATTATGTAGCAAAGAAGGGTATGTGACAAATAACAAGAAAGCTGGTAAACAAGTTGAAGGTGCATGTTTAAGGAAAAAGACTGTGAAGAGAGTTGGATGTCCTGCTAATATTAAATTTAGGTTTCGTAATGGTGGGCAGTATATGGTTTACTCTTTTTATGAGTCTCATTCTCGCCCTTTTTCTACACCTATTACTAGGCAGGTTACTAAATATGAAGTTGGTTTAAATTTTGCTCATAAGAAGTTTATTTTGACAACTTAAAGTTAAATATAGGGGCTGTTATGTCTTATAAGATCATGAAAGAACTTTGTTGTGGGTTTAAAAATGTCAGGGGCAGTAAAAATGACTTCAAAAATTTTTCTAGGGACTTGAAAGTTTATATCTCTAATGCTGATGGTGCAATGTTTGTTCAAAACCTTGAACAAAAAGTGAAAAGCATTAAAGGGGGTAATTATTTCGATTACTGTGTTGATGAAAGCAGGTACTTGACACGTGTTTTTTGGGCTGATGCTATTGGTAGAAGAGATTATCAATTGTTTGGGGACTCTTTATCTTTTGATTCTACCTATGATACAAATAAATACTCATTGGTTTTCTGCCCTTTCACTGGAGTTGATAATCATAAGAGATGTGTTACATTTTGTGCTGCTTTATTATCTAAAGAAGATGTAGAATCTTTTGTGTGGCTATTTCAAACTTTTTTGAAGTGTATGGGAAGAGAACCCTCTTGCATAATCAATGATCAAGACCCTACAATGGGTATTGCCATACAAAAGGTTTTTACCAAGACGAAACACGAGTTATGTATGTGGCACATAATGAGGAAGGCACCTGAAAAGGTTGGAACTCAGTTTTGTAATGAAACTGAGTTCTTGAAAAAGCTAGGTGCAGTAGTTTGGGATAGAGAAATTGATCCCCATGTATTTGTTGATTGCTGGAACAGTGTTATGGAGGAATTTGACCTTGTAGATCATGAGTGGTTTGCATACATGCTCAAGATTAGGCATCTTTGGATCCCTACATATTTCAAGGACTTGTTTATGGATGGGTTACTGCGTTCTACTTCTAGGTCTGAAGGTGAAAACAGTTTCTTTTGTAATTTTATAAACCCCCATGTGACCTGTGTTGAATTCTTTGTCCGTTATGAAACTGCTCTTGATGCTCAAAGGCATGAACAGGATGAGTTGAACAGGCTTAATAAATCTGAGCCTCAATTGCTTGCTCATTTACACTTGGGAAAGCACGCTGTTGTTGTTTGCAGTCGTGCCATCTTTTATGATTTTCAAGAAGAATGTCAGGCGGCCTGTTGTCATGTGGTGTTGAAAGTTGGAGTTCTCTATATGGAGATGGTGTGGAGTTTTCTGTAATTGTTGATCATGAGAAAAGGAAAAACTTTGATGTAAATTTTGACTTGGCCACATATGACTGCAGTTGTACTTGTAAAATGTTTGAGAGTCAAGGCATCTTATGTAGACACATTCTGTTTATTATGAAAGGCAAGTCTATACATGAAATTCCTGATCTTAATATCATAAAATTGTTGGAGAAAAGACATTCTGAAGAAAGCTTCTGCCATAAATGTTGTTCTGGATGATGCTTCTAAGTATGATAAGAAGAAGCAATTGGTGAGTGATGTGTGGTCTAAGATTTTCAGTTGTGTGAGTTTATCTGAGCAATTTGAGGATGATTTATCTGAGCTTATTAGGACATTATCTTCATTTGAGGAGCAGATGCTGACAAAGAATAATCCTGAAAATGCAACTAGTTCAAAAGAGGTGAAAGATGCTGATATTCAGGTTTTGGTTGGGTCAAATGAAGTAGATGTAAACATATTTCCTCCAAATCAATGTCTTAATAAAGGTTCTACCAGAAGTTCAAAGCTATTGAAGAGTGCAAAAGAAATAGCTTCTGAAGAAAAATCCAAAAAGGGCAGAACCTGTAAAGCTTGTGGGCAATCTGGTGTTTCACATGACAGTAGAAGCTGTCCAAACAATTAGTTCTTCAGGTATTTTACTTTAATATGTTATTTATTTACTTTAACATTTAACTTGATTTACTTTTTATTTTTGTGCAGGTGTTATTATACTTGTACTTTATTTTTAGGTATTTTACCTTTGTACTTTTCTCATTTACTTTAAGTTGAAATTTATTTACTTTACATTGTAATTTATTTACTTTAATCTGTCAATGATTTTCCGTTGAAGAAGCAATTGGTGAGTGATGTGTGGTCTAAGATTTTCAGTTGTGTGAGTTTATCTGAGCAATCAAAGGCTGATTTATCTGAGCTTATTAGGACATTATCGTCATTTGAGGAGCAGATGCTGACAAAGAATAATCATGAAAATGCAACTAGTTCAAAAGAAGTGAAAGATGCTGATATTCAGGTTTTGGTTGGGTCAAATGAAGTAGAAGTAAACATCTTTCCTCCAAATCAGTGTCTTAATAAAGGTTCTGCCAAAAGTTCAAAGCGGTTGAAGAGTGCAAAAGAAATAGCTTCTGAAGAAAAATCCAAAAAGGGCAGAACTTGTAGAGCTTGTGGACAATCTGGTGTTTCACATGACATTAGAAACTGTCCAAACAAGTAGTTCTTCAGGTATTTTACTTTTACATGTGTTCCATTTACTTTGATATGTTATTTATTTACTTTAACATTTAACTTGATTTACTTTTTATTTTTATGCAGGTGTTATTATACTTGTACTTTTTTTTAGGTATTCTACCTTTGTACTTTTCTCATTTACTTTAAGTTGAAATTTATTTACTTTGCATTGTAATTTATTTACTTTTATTTGTCACTGATATTCTGATGTTTATTTTTGTGCAGTTATTATAATACTTGGATATTGAAAGATGTTTTGGAAGATCAAGATATACTGAAGAAATATTTACGTTTTACATTTTTTTTATGTAATATTTTTACATATACTCTAAGTAATTGTACTGTAGAAATAAAGTTCAGTTTATTTACTTTTACCTATTATACTTTAACTTTATGAAATATTTCATTTACTTTATAATATATTTTTAGAAGATAATATCCTATATTACTCCCTTCGTCCCAATATACTTGGCACAATTTCCATTTTCATCCGTCCCAAAATACTTGATACATTTCTAAAAATAGCATGGGACCACATTTATAACATTATTTTTTAATACTCCCCCATGGTCCCAAGGTAACAAAACTTGTTAATATATGGGGCTCTTTTATAACCAAAACATTTTTTTCTCTCTCCCTTATCTCCATTGCACAACCACCTACACCACCTTTTACGTTACCACCGCACAACCCATCGTATGGCCACTAACACTATCACATAGCCCCTCCAACCAACAATCTTTCGGAAAATTTGTACTTTTTTTAGTGTGAACAAGCATTGAACTACAACCTCCGCAACCACCTCCACCTCCACAACCACCTCCACAACCAACTCATAAAAACTTTATTTTTTGAACTTTTTTCTTTTACTTTTAACTTCATGTCTTTTACTTTAACACTAATTCCCTTTACTTTTAAATCGAACATCATATTTTGACTATTTTTTGAACTTTTTTTCTCTTAAATTTGTTCCTTTTACTTTAATGATAATTTCATTTACTTTTGGATTAATTTCTTTTACTTTAACAATATTTTTCTTTACTTTATAATCTAACACCATATTTCAGAAAGACTTCATTTTCTAAACTTTTTTATTTTACTTTTAACTGAGTTCCTGTTACTTTAACATTATTTTCATTTACCTTTTGATTGATTTCTTCTACTTTTATATCTAGCACCATTTTTCACACAGAATAATTCTACTACTTCAACTCAGAGATATAATATGTATTCTTCATACAAACATACTACTTAAACCTTCAAACTAATGTTTTGGATTAATACTATACAACTTAAAGTACTCTAATGCCTATGATATATTCAAATCTATTAAAAACATTTACAATTCTTCACATGCTTTTTGTGCTTTCTTCTCTTCCCAATCCTTAACATTTGTCAGCAGTTTTTCTTGCATTTGATTGTTATCATTGAGAAGTAGGTCAAGTATTGTTTTTATATGATGGTGTGTCAATCTTTGAAATTCCTGTAAAAACAAATGATTAACCTTAGTTTTAATAAATTATGCTCTAAGTAATCCATATAACTTAAAGAATTTAAGGACTTCAGAAATAAGTATGGTAAATTACCTCTTTTATGGTTCCCAAAATCCTATCCCATAAACACCATCATACACCTTCATGTGCAGCATTAGATAGCTTCCTGAGTAATTTTCTTGTCTTTCTTTTTGGAATGGAAGTTTAATTATTCTCAGTTTGTAGGACAACATATCATTTGCCTTTGGATGCTTTCTTTTTTTTAAACAACTTCTGCATTTGTATGATCTGCAATGGAATGAATATTAATGTATTATGATACATTGAAAAATGAATTTAATGACATTTTGTTAATCTATTTATGCTTCGCCGTTTCTAAGATAAAACTTTGTACAGGCTCATATTCATCAGTGCTCTCGTATAAAGTGTTGTCCAAATGATCAATTGTTTCATTTTTGAAGTTTATGACAGCAAGAAAATAATGATCTTCCTGCTTCAGAGGTATAAATACCTGCACATAAAAAAATATTTACACATATTTACTTTAAAGTTGTTTTTTATTACTTTAAACATATATTTTTCTACTTTAAATATTTGTTCTATATCTTACACATTCAGCTGCATCCAAGTCCAATGATTGTGATTTTGTCCTATCAATCCATATTTCTTGTAGACTTGTTACTCCCTTTTTCCCATGTGCATTCAAACACATAGTTTAAGCATCCTGCAAAAAAATTCCCAAGTTTATTTCACATATTTATACAATGCATAGTTTTATATTATAAAAGTAAATGTAAAAAACTTACCATGAAGTCAAGTCCAAAGAAGAATTTGACCATGTCATTTTCAGACCACTCTTTTTACCTTTCATTGTTATAGAGGTGGTTTGACCAAGCAGTGATCAGATTAGTTGAACCTTTCCATTCATTGAGCAAAGTGTTACAATCTTCTCTTATTATTTCAATTGATTCTCCAAACCAACCTACTACTTCGTTGTAATGTTAAATTAAGTTTTAAATTAAATTTATGCCAAACAATTTGATATATAATGCAACAGGAGTATTATTTTATTTGCAAGTATAACACATACCTCTTATTTGGAAAGTTTTCATCATCATTGATTGCTAAGTAGTCAATCACTTGCTTACATTTCAAGCTCATGTTTTCCATTACTTGTGTGTTTTTAAGAAATCAGAAACATATATCATATCTTTCACCTTTTTCTCCTGCTCAAGTTTTCTAATTACTCTGAACCTTGAAACTTTTTCCACAAGACCTTTTCTTGTAGTGTTTATCTGTGCAAAAGCAAGTGCAGCATAGATTTCTGCACGATACACCTTTCTCCTATTTGCTAAATCAAGGTCAGAATCAAAAGGGTCTTCAGTAAAACACAACATATGCATCATTGTAAAAACACCACAATCAAGAGTATATTTTGGTGTTTTCCACTTGAACTTAACTTCATCAAACTCATAATCTAGTATTTCATCAGCTTTTTCATGATTAATTCTCTTCAGGAAGTTTGACATTTCCTCCACCTATAACATTTGTAAAGCAATATATAAGTAAAACAAATTTACAGTACAGTTTACTTTAAATAACATATGTATTACTTTAATGAGAACGTCATTTACTTTATATTTTATCTTATTCTTTTCACAGGCATAATAATGTATACTTTTAATACAAACTTATTTACTTTAATAGTAATGTCATTTGCTTTATATTAATAAAAATTTACTTTGAGAAATTAAAAAATCTTACCACAAGAGATGCAAGAATTTTGTAGAAAGGCCTAAGCCTGTCATCATACTTCCTGTTATCCAAGTATTGAATGATCCCTTTCAACAAGTTAACCACTACCAAACTATAGCGGTTACTCAGACAGATTGGAACAAAGATCTGTCATTAAAATTACACTTATTAGTCTACAAATTCAAAATCATAATGCCCTACAATGTAGTTTAAATGACATGAATAATAAAACATACCAACTGAGTTGTCATAATTTTCTCCTTTGCATCACAGAGGCACATCCAATCATACCATGTCTAATTCAATTCTGCCGCGTGTGTTGAAGGAGATGGTATTTCTTTTTCATCTATTTTTGGAGTTGGTTGGGAAGGATCTTGTGACATGAGAGACAGCTCTGGAGGTCTCTATGTATTAATGAGGACATAAAACATGTTACTTAATTAGATCATATACATTTAATTATGTATTTAGCTAAACATTTAATTTAACGCTTACATTGTGGTCAATGCCAAAGAAAAAGCATGATGGATCTTCTTTCAATCGTGAATCATTCATAAGAAATGACCAACATTGAACTATATTGGATTTTATCATTTGAGAGGGGGCAGTTGGAGCTAGGGATATTGTGTCATCCCTTGTTATCATGAGAGGAGCTTCATATTTCAAACGCTCTTCACTGTGCACATTTAAGTGTTTATAAAGTAAATAAAATATTATTTAAAGTAAATTAAATATTAACTAAATTAAATAGAATATTTTTAAAATTAAAAAATTTCATAACTTACAGTTTGAATGCACTGTACTTTACAAAGCAGTAATCAGCCACTACTTGATACAGCTGTGGCATTTCATTCATTCTTGATTTGTTACTTCTTATTGACTTTGAAACGAAATTAACTTCAACATCTTTTTCTCCACAATCTACATTGATGTTTATCTTTGAAGCTATCTCTTGGTGAATGTTCTTAAGCACAATGGTTTCTTCTGCAACAGGTTGTTTATCACCATCACCTGAAATAAAACAGCAGATGTAGTTTCAAAGAAATCATACACTATCTACTTTCAATTGATTTGTATTTACTTTTATACAATATTTACTTTCTTTTGTTAACAACTTACTTTCAATTGTTTTTTCTGTTGTTTTCTTTGTAACATTTGGCTGCTTCTCTTAAACAACAGTATCCTTTAGGATACTCTCAGTGACCGAGATTACTACATTATTGAGGTCTTCATTTGGTTCTTCATCAAAATCATCACCATCAACTAGCTGGTTTGCAGTATTTGCATCAACTGCTACACTAACTTCAGCTTCCTTCTCTTGTTGCTTTATTTTCATCCTTCTCTTTCTCCTTCTCATCTTCCTCTTTCTATTCTTTGTTTTCTTCCTTCTCTTCTTTGTTTTCATCCTTCTCCTCTTCATTTTTGTCCTCTTCCTTTTCCTCCTCTTTTTTAGATTCTTCACTTTCATCATCCAGATTAATAGCGTCATGTATAAAATTTGAAGTAGTAGCTGCACCATCTTAATTATCTCCATCATAATACGGATTAGTTTCAGAATTTTTATGCGGCTCCTCCCATGTTGATAGAAACACATTAGATACATCTCTCAAATCATCGTAAATCTTTACTATTTCATCAATAGTCCTTTGCACTCAAGGGTTCTATCAGCTTTTGTGTTTCAGAAAATAGTTGCGAATCCGATGAGAAAAATTCGCTTTCTGCTTTTTAATCCTGTCTGTTATGCAGTTTATACGCTCGGCATGTAACATTGAAAAGAGTGTTGAATCTCTAGCAAATAAAAGCAGATCTTCTTCAACTTCCTTCAAATAAATAACAAAAATTTATTATTATAATACTCTTGATAAATAATACTATTTACTATTAAAGTTAATTTATTTACTTTGCAGTGTATTTTATTTACTTTTTGTTTAGCATTTACTAAACATTATTACTATAAGAAGCAGAACAAATAAATATAACCTATGAAATTGTGACCAATC